GTAAATATTCCAGTAGGCAGTCGGAATTTAAGCATGGAACTGAGAAGGGTATTAAAGGCTGTAAATAATGGATTTGGAAACCATAAGCATGTAAGGTCTATGAGGGTAGATGAGGCTGCTCTGAAGAGTTTGTAAAAACGAAGGTCAGTTTTCACCTTGGGGGAAAAAGAAAAAAGCATTGTTGTCCGGTTGATTCTGACTCATAGCAACCCTATAGGACAGAGTAGAACTGCCTCATAGAGTTTCCAAGGAGCGCCTGGTGGATTCAAACTGCTCATCGTTTTTTTTCATTTTTATTGTCCTTCAGGTGAAGGCTTACAGAACAAATAGTTTCTCAGTAAACAGTAGTGCACAGATTGTTTTATAACATTGGTTATAAACAACCCACGACATGTAAACCCTCTCCCTTCTCGACCTTTTTTTTGTGTGTGAAAATATACATAGCCAAAGATACACCATTTCAAAAATTTCTACATGCACAGTTCAGTGACATCAACTACTCTCTTCCAATTGTGCTGCTAGTCTCACTTTAGATGAAGGTTTACAGAACAAAATAGTTTCTCATTAAACAGTCAGTACACGTGTTGCCCTATGATAATGGTTAACAACCTCACAACACATCAACACTGTCCTTACTCAAACTTGGGTTCCCTATCACCAGCTTTCCTGTCCCCTTCTGCCTTCTAGCCCTTGTCCCTGGACTGCTGTGCCTCATTAGTCCCGTTTTGTTTTATGCGTCTCTCTAATCCCCAGCTGAACAGTGAACCGCGGAAGTGACTTCACCACTGAGCTAAAATGGTGTCTGGGGGCCATACTCTGGGGTTTCTCCAGTCTCTGTCAGGCCAGTAAATCTGGTCTTTTTTGTGTGTGTTAGAATTTTGTTCTACATCCTTCTCTAGCTCTGTCCAGAACCCTCTGTTGTGATCCTGGTCAGAGCAGTCGGTGGTGGTAGCCGGGCACCATCTAGCTGTACTGGACTCATTCTGGTGGTGGCCATGGTAGCTGTGGTCCGTTAGTCCTTTGGACTAATCTTTTCCTTATAACCTGCTCTCTTCATTCTCCCTTGCTCCTGAAGGAGTGAGACCAGTGGAGTATCTTAGATGGCTGCTCACAGGCTTTTAGACCCCGGACGCTACTCACCAAGGTAGAATGCAGAACATTGTCTTTATAAACCGTGTTATGCCAATTGAGCTAGATGTTCCCCGAGGAGACCATGGTCCCCACAGCCCTCTGCACAGCAATTCAGTCTCTCAGGGACTTTGGATGTGTCTACGGAGCTTCCATGACCTTTCCTTGTACAAGTTGTGCTGGTTTACCCAGTATTGTGTACTATCTCACCCTTCACCCAAGATACCACTTATCTACTGCCCATTTAGTATTCCCCCCCACCCCTCCCATCCCTGGTAACCAACAAAGATTGTCACTTTTTTTGTGTTTACTTTTTCATGAGTTTTTACAATAGAGGTCTCATACAATATTTATCCTTTTGTGATTGACTTATTTCACTCAGCATAATGTCCTCCAGTTTCATCCATGTTATGAGATGCTTCACAGATTCATCATTGTCGAACTGCTGACCTTTTGCTCAGCAGCTGTAGCTCTTAACCACTGGGCCACCAGGGTCACCTTGAGCCATCACCAAATCTCTGAGTCTCAGGTACCTTTAATACCAATGCTGCTCCAGATGGCCATTTTAAACCATTCCAGAATCAAATTGCCAACTATTACAACTCCATAATAAAAAAAGTAATTACCCAATTTATAAGTGGGCAGAGGATCTGAATAGACATTTCTCCAAAGAAGACCTACAAATGGCCGATAAACACGTGAAAAGATTCTCAATATCTTCGCATTAGAGAAATGCAAATCAAAACCACAATGAGATACTACTTAACACTCATTTGTTGGTTGCAGTAGAGTTGATTCCAACTCTTAGCCGCCCTGTGTGACAGAGTCAAATTGCTCAATAGGGCTTTCTTGGTTGTAATCTTTACAGAAGCAGATCACCAGGTCTTTCTCCCTGGAGAGGCTGGGTGGGTTCGAACCACCAACATTTTGCTTAGCAGCTGAGAGCTTAAACATTTTGTCACTAGTGCTCCTTTCACATCCACTACCAAAACCCGTGGCGGTCTAGTCAATTCCAACTCATAGCCACCTTATAGGACAGAGTAAAAGGGCCCCATAGGGTTTCCAAGGCTGTAAATCTTTACGGAAGCAGACTGCCACATCTGTCTCGTGGGAGTGGCTGGTGGGTTCCAACCGCCAACCTTTTTGGTTAGTAGTCCAGCGCTTTAACCACTCCACTACACCACCAGGGCTCCTTGTCACTCCCACTGGAAACCAATTTCCATCGATTCGATTCCAACTCATAGCGACCTTATAGGACAGAGTAGAACTGCCCCATAGGGTATCCAAGGAGTGCCTGGTGGCTTCAAACTGCCTACCTTTTACTAGGATGACTATAATAATAAGGCAAAATAAAAAGTGTTGGGGAAGATGTGGAGAAATTGGAACCCTCATTCATTGCTGGTGGGATTGTAAAATGGTAAACTAGTTGTGGGAAACAGTTTGCTAGTTTCTCAAAAAGTTAAACGTAGAGTTACCACACAAGCCAGCAATTCCACTCCTAGGTATATACCCAAGAGAACTAAAAATATCTATTCATATAAAAACTTGTACATGAATGTTCATAGCAGCATTATTCATAATAGCGAAAAAATGGAAACAACCCAAATGCCCATCGAGTGATGAATGGATAAAAATAATGTGGTATATCCAAACAATGGAATGTTATTCAGTCATAAAAAGGAATGAGGTTCCGATACATGCTACAATAGGGTTAAACCTTGAAACCATTGTGCTAAGGGAAAGAAGCCAGTCACAAAGGACTACATATTGTATGATTCCATTTATATGAAGTGTTGGTGGTGCAGTGGTTAAGAGCTCAGCTGCTAACCAAAAGATTGGCAGCTTGAATCCACCAGCCACTCCTTGGAAACCCTATGCGGCAGTTATACTCCATCCAATAAGGTTGCTGTGAGTCTGAATCCACTCCACTGCAAAGGGTTTATAATAGGCAAATCCATAGAGACAGAAAGTAGATTTGTGATTGGGAAGCTGGGAGGGCTGGGTGGGGGAAATGGGAAATGGCTGCTAATGGGCTTCTTTTTGGAGTGATGAAGTGGTTCCAAAATTTATCGTAGTCGTGGTTGTACAACTCTGTGAATATACTAAAAATCACTCAAACTGTAGACCTTAAATGGGTGGATTGTGTGGTATGTGAATCACATCTCAATACAGCTGTTAAAAAGAAAGAAAAAAAATCTAATTGCCCTTTACAGTTACGAAGTGTCGAAAGTAAAAATCTGATCAGTAAGAGTTAAAAGGTTTTATTGGGTGGGAAAAAACTGAGTACAGAGGGCACTCCTAGGAAGAGATGAGCTCGGCACGTTACAATGTTGATCTGTTGATCAACTCGTGCGGTACAAACTATTAGGGGATTTCCCAGGAGGGGAATTTTAAGTGATTGGTTATCATTCACTTCATGGGCAGGAGGCGGCTTGGATTGGTTTATTAAGTGTGGGTGTCTGCATTCTATAGGCTAGCTATGGTTATCTAATTACGTAGATGTTTCTCAGAACTGTCTTTATCATGAGCTTTTAGTTTCTGTTAAGGGTTAAGTTTAAACGGGGAGGGGAAAGGGCAGCATTTTCTTTAACACAAGGCACCTCATCACCCGGGTTGTTGCTAGTTGCTCCATAGGGTTTTGACAGCATGGACCTTTTAGAAGCAGATCGCCAGGCCTGTCTTTTGAGGCCTCTGCAGAGGTTCAAACCACAAATCTTTAGTAGCTAAGAGTCTGCACCACCCAGGGATTTCTACCAGCCAAGTATCATCCTCTTTTTACAGAAAGGGAAACAGAAGTGCGAGCAAGGGTTAGGGTCCCCTGACTTTTAGGTTGGTTTTTCTCTACTATACCATGCTGTTCGGTGATGGCAGAATTCAATCTTTTTTCTTGTGTCACCACTGTGGTTATACATGTTGTTGGGGTTGTTGCTAGGCGCCAGCCAGTCGGTTCTGACTCCTAGCGACCGTGTGTACAACAGAATGAAACATCGCCCGGTCCTGCACCACCCTCACAATTGTTATGCTTGAGCCCATGTTGCAGCCACTGTGTCGGTCCATCTCGCTGAGGGTCTCTTTTTCGCTGACCCTCTCCCAAGCATGATGTCCTTCTTCAGGGACTGGTTATACACGCTATCACTTTATAGTTCGAATTGTGTACCATGTTTTTAGATTCCAAACTTCTTTAGAGATAGTGTGATTTCTGTCTATCAAGATCTGGTAAAGTGCTGGGCATTTAGTAGGCTCTCAAACGAAGAAATGAACGACAGCTGAGGTAAAATAAATGCAAAGGAAAGTAGGAATTCTGCCCTCTCCAACCAAGGGAATGCACAAGGAGGCGTAGAAACTAATGAAGTAGAAAAAAGGACTAAGGGAGTGGGAGAAAGATGTGGCAATCTGCTCACATAAAGATTATAGCCTTGGAAATCCTATGGGGCAGTCCCACTCTGTCCTATAGGGTCGCTGTGAGTCCAAATCGACTCAACGGTAACGGGTTTGGTTTTTTTAGGTTATTTATATATGTATACTGAAAGAATGATGAAGCAAATGTGGAGAGTGTACCTAGAGTTTTTTAACTATTCTTGCAATTTTTCTGTAAGTCTGGGATTTCTGTCAAACGAAAAGTTAAAAAGAAAGAAAAAGGATTAAGGGAATGGGAGAAATGGAGAGGGCGTCTCCTCCCTTCCCCACCCGGGAGAGTTGCTCTGGAAAGTTCCAGAAAGGATTCAGAACGACTGATGACATCACCACGCCCCGTGCTGAGCACCACAGAGGCCAAACGACCCGCTCACTTTCCCGCCTCACAGAGCCCCAGAGATGGGGCGGCGCTTTGCACAGGCGGGGCTTACGTCACGTCCGGTTGGGCCCGCGCCGCCGCAGGAGAGGAAAAGCTACGCGAGGAGGGGGCGGGACCAAGAAAGCGCGCGTTCTGGCAGGGGGCGGAGCGTGCTTAAGGCGTGCCGCGTCACGTCCGGTAGAGTCAGAACGTGTGTGGAGGCAGCGCGGAGTGCTTCGTCTCTCAGCGGCTCTGAGAGCAGTGCGTTCAGCGAGGCTGTTACGGAGCCTCCGAAGAGAAGGCCCGAGAAGTGGACGGCTGCGATTGAAGCACATCGAGCGGTGACTGCAGCCCGGAGTCATGAGCGACAGCGGCGAGCAGAACTACGGCGAGCGGGTACGTAGAGTTGGTGCAGGGGGCGGCCGTGTGTTCACAGCTTCTGGCATCTCTTTGGAGGCCCCTTGGCCTCGGGCCGGGAGGCAGGGGATTCAGGCTCCGGAGTCTGAGGCCGAGAGGGACGGGAGAGAGGGTAGATAGGTGACTGTAGTCGTGAAGGCAGCCACCGGCTGGTTTATGCGGTCTCACACTCGAGACGGCCGTTTTTTCCGTTATGGGGGGGTTGAAAATGGCCGCCGCGTCCCCTCGGTGTGGGGGAGGGGACGGTATCGTTTCGCCGTTGCTCTCCTGCGAAGCTGCGCCGCGGCCATCTTGGGCTGAACGGGCTGGGCGCGCTGCCAGAGGCACAAAATGGCGGAGGAGCCGCGCCTCCGCGCAGGCAGGCGCCCGCGCCCCACGGCCGCGTGGGACGGGTGCGAAGAAAGGCGACGTTCTGGGGGGGCTTCCGCCCGGGCTTTAGGTTAATGCGGGACCGTCTTGTGGGCCCCGGACAGGACGGATTCTAGGGTGTGGTTGGGACCTCTTGGGGGGTGGGGGAAACTGGCCTGCAGTAAAGTTCTCGGCCCATGATTTTGGGGGGACTGCACGCGGGCTTTTATGTTTGGCTTAAATAGAATGCTTTGATAACGGAAGGGTTTTCCAAGGAAAAGTCTTTATGAGAGCATCTAAATCGAACAGACCACGAGGTCGCTAAGTGTGTTTTATGGAGTAGACGTTTTATCACGGGGTTGCATGGTCGAAAAATTGGCGGGCAACAGTGTATGGCTCCGTTATTTGCTTTGTTTAGAGGCATTCTCATACTGATAGCTTAACTTGTGTTAGCACACTTTTTTTTTTTCAATTTAAGTTTTCTTGAAAAGAGCTCGGTGAGGGTTGATTAGAGTGCAGGAATAAGACAGTTGCGAGGCTTAACAGCTTAGTGTAAGGTTTGGCTGTGGGGCTGGTGGTGGTACGTTCGGGAACCATCTAACGAAGATAACCAAACTATAACGTTACATGTTTCTGGTTTGGGGGTTAAGGAGAATTTGTTAGAAGAAGGGTGATTTTAAAGTGAGCATAGAATTTGATTTTTGAGGCAGGTATAAGAATAAGCTGGGTATGGGGTTTTTGTTGTTTATTAAGTTGTTATTTCTCTCTGCTGGTAGACCTTCGCAAGACCTGAATAGCTTGTTAGGTCTATGCAAATTTCGTGTAAAAGATTTTTGATAGTTCATCAGAGGATGTTTTTCGGAAGAAACTCGTATCTTTAGTTCCTAGAACTTGAGTGGATTTATTGGGTGACTTTGGAACCGAATTTGATTAGTTTAAACTAATCGGGCCTTATCTTTAGATTTCACATGAATGTTGGGCTCTTTTTTTGTTTTGTTTTGTTTTACATTTTGGTTTTTTTTCCTAAAATGATTTTTAGGCTCACTACTAGTGTGTGTGGTTATAAGTTCTTATTTTCTTAAGGGTAGCTACTGGATTGAGCCCACAAGTTTTTAAAGCTGAGAATTGTGGTTACTGCCAGTTGAATACACTGAAGCTAGTCATTGTTCAGACTGGAAAGCAAGTGGTTTTTAATTCTTCAGTTTTTAAACATGTTAATGGGTACTTTGCACTGTTCAGGAAATACAAAATGGTTTCTGCCGGGGTGGGTGCTCAAATAGAAGTGAACAAGTTGCATGTAACAGTGTGCTTGTGAAGATGGAAAATTTTAGAAACTACACTTGCCCAAAGAATAATAAAATGATGTTTTGTGTGAGGAAGTAGACAGTTGTAGGAAGTAGGTCCTGGTTTGAGACAGCTCAGATAGTATCATGCCACTAAGGAAGAGATTTTCGAATTAGTTCTATTTTCTTTCTAGTAGAAAATAAACATGCTAGTGTTTTTCACAGTTCTGTTACATAGAATATGTATTGACTAAGCTCTGCAAAGAGAAAAGCTATAAAGTAACTTAAAGTCACATGTTAAAAATTGGTATTTTTGTTACGTAAGAGGCTTGATTTTCTGGAAGAGATTTTTAAACTGAAGTTGTGGACAGTTTAAAAATAATATTATAAAACAAAGTAGAACAGTCAAATATGACTGGTTAAGACTCCCTTTTAAAAGTCCTGAAAGTAGTGAAACGTTAATGACAAAGATGAGTATGAGGTAATAATTTTGGGCATGCCTGGTATGAATAGCTTCTCTGGAGCCTGAAAAATGAGTTTCGCTCAACTCTAGGCTCTTAATATGCCCAACTGTTCTTGTTAATGTAAATTAGTGATACACATTTCTTCGGTTCAGGTGGATCTCCCCCCTCCTTCACTATTAAATCTCTAATCCAAACACTACCACACAACCCCTAAGTGACATGAGAAATTTTTTCATCCCTTTTAACTTTAGAAGTTGTTCCTTTTCTGAACAGACCAAGGTTGTGTGTGAAATATTCTCAAATTGGTCGGCATATTCAGTAAATGAATTTGTCTACCGTAGAATACTTACTTTGTGACTATATTGTGTCCCTCATCCTTTGTTTGAAATGAGTAACTAGGATATAACTTGAATATTCGTGGTTAACATCACACTATTTAGTTTGGCAAAGTTTCTTTATCTGTGGGATTTAATGTATGTATATGTATGTATTTCTGCATCTCAAGGTTGATATATTTAAATTGAAATTTGTCTCTAAGGGATCTAGTCAGAGTTGGCTTCCCTGATCTAGCCAAACCAAATACAAAAGTAAAATCTCATTTTCATCTCAGCTCAAGTCTCTCTTAGTACTTTCCCAAAATTGCTCAGCAAACATTTTGCAAAGGGCTTGACTAGCACTTTTTCTTTGGGGTGGCGGGAAGCTGTTCTTAACAGTTAAATTCTCTTCACAGTTTGGAAGAATAAGAACCTGAATAAAGATTTGTTAGCAAGTTTAAAGGGTGCTAGATATCTTGGGGTTAATACTTACAAATATTAAAGGACTAATGATAGTCACAGTATGTAGGGTATGTGAGGTTGCTATGTTGTCTGGTCTTGCAGTCAGCTTATGTTTGTAATTCTTTAGCTTTTACAAACGAGTCTTAAATCAGAAACGAAGTAAGGAAACAATATTGTATGGACCAGATGGTTTTAATTTTTGTCAGGTTATCAGGATTACAGTAGAAACACCTTTAAATATATTTGGACCCAGCAAATACTCTGATAGAATACTGGCTGTTATTTTTTTGTCGAAGCAATGTGTTTAAAATTTAGGTACATTACCTTAAATCCTATTCTGAAATAGAGATGGATAGCATCTGGATCCCTACCATCCCATCAAACTGCTTTTCAAATTCTGCAGTTTTACTCTTGTGCTTAATCTTGGGTTGTCTTTTTGTATTCCTTGTTTTTAACCTGTAACTTTGAATTCTAATTTTCAATATTGAAACATCTCTGAATTTATGTGTTTCTTTAGAATTGTCATCTCACCAAATTCATTTAATAAATAATGTCAAGAAGGAGGAAATACTTTGCATTGTTTTGTGTTACTGTGAGTCCAGTTAGCTGTCAGTAGACTAGTCTCTTGGAGAAACCAGGTTGAAATGTATTTGATTTTAAGTAAGAATGCTTTAATACTATGTGGTCATTGTCTGGAAATAGAACGTGACATTTTCAGACTGAAATTACAAGGTAAGTACTACCAGTTTCGTCAAAAGATTGAAGAGGAATTGAGACTGAGATTTGTAAAGCCCTTTTCACCTTCCCCCTCCCCTTTCCTCAAAAAATAACGTTAAATGATAAACATTAATGCTTTCACAGTTGAACTCACATTTTGCCCAAGACGGGGACAGAGCTCCAATTTTGTATATCTTTTGAGCTGTAGCATAATGTTTTAATTATGTTGATCAGTTTCTCTATACACTTAATTGTGTATATTCTTATACAAGGTATAGTGTTGGGAGGTTGATTGATAGTTAGGACTTTTATGTATTTCCGCCCAGTTTAGTTTTGACAGCTATGGGTCAAATAGGATTATGTATTATCATCACTTAGTCTTGCTTTTAAGCTGTAAGCCAGAGTTATTTATGGCAAATTAGTCTTCAGATTCCCCAAATTGTTTGCTTTAAATTATGTTTTGGAGGTTATTTTGAGATTAATTTTATCAATAGATTATTTATGGCATATGTGATAGCCTGGATGGCAACCCCTTTTTTATATTGCTTTTTGTGCTTAGATATTAGGTAAGTTAAAAAGTATGTATGTAGTTTTCTGGAAAAGTCAAAAAGCGTTCTTGGCTTTTGCTAGGAAGTGCTGAATGTTTTATGAATGTTTTTGGAGAATATTCTGCTCAGTCTTTGAGGATATTTCTAACGATCCAGCCATCTGTTGGACAGTTTTGGCTGCAGAAACAATAAAATGTCCATATTTGCTATTAGCATTGACCTTCTATATAGCCGGATCACCAAGTTTATTCCTTTGTCCTTTTCCCTCCCAATTTTTAAACTATTTCCTTGTCAATCATAATGAATTTGAACATGTTAATGTTAAATAGATTCTAGTTGTAGTTTTTAGAATCATTTTAACAAAAATGGTGTTGATGCTAAGGAGTTTCTGTTTATTTCTAAGTGAGGTTTCTTAACCAAATGTACATAATAACAGCCCAATAGTGGGTCTTTAGGTTTTATAAAGTGACCACTTAGTAGCTGAGTTGAAACAAACCTAATATTTATAGTATCAATAGTGTATTTTGTTCTTTGAATATAAGAGAAGGAAGAAGTTGAAAGAAGTAAAATAACAGCAGGAAGGCATCTAAAGCTTTTGGCCTCAGTTCCAGTATTTAGTCTTAGGCATCTGAGCCCTGTATCTGTACATAACTTTTAGGAGGCCCTAAGAGGAAATCTGCTTGGGCATTCTGATTCCACGATTACATTTATGCTGCCAGCAACCATTCCCCATTACATTTTAGTGATGGATATTAAAAGGCTATTTCAGTTTTTTCCTGGATTAAATAAATCAGAGTTAAACAGTAATTTACTATTTTATAAGCAATATTAAAAGTTATGCTT